TTTTCCCTTTCCTTCCATCTCAATTTTGGTCTATGGCTTCAGCCCTCTGTATAAAACCTTTTATATGTCATGATTTAAATGTGAGAGTTAGATGTGACCTTGTATCTGTATGCCACCACACTAATCATGTCTTGCAAAGATTGTCTTATATGTGCTAATTAAACCTGTTGATTTTAAAAATGTTTGTTTTCAGATTCCTTCTCTCTAAACATGTTCTGGTAGAAGCTTCTGCTGGAAAAATAAGTTTAATAAACTGAATAACTCCCCAATTTGACTTCATAGTAGCATTCAGGATTGAGTGTTGTCAATCAGGATGTGTGAGTCAACTTGTTTTGCATTACTGTGGACTATTATGATAATAATGATTTTCAGTTCCCTTTTTATGCAGATTCTTTTTATGGATTCACTCAAATTTTTCCTTTCCTTATACGGCCACAAACTTCCTGTCCTATGTATGGATATTTCATCAGATGGAGATTTAATTGTAACTGGATCTGCAGATAAGAATTTGAGGATTTGGGGCTTGGATTTTGGCGATTGCCACAAATCCATCTTTGCACATGCTGACAGGTTTTGTATGATTAATTATTATGGAATGCAAAAGTTTTCTTAATCCTAAATTGTTTAAGTAGTTTTGGTGAACCTTTTAACCACCAATTCTGATGAGGTATTTTTTCAGTGTTATGGCAGTTCAATTTGTCCGCAACACACATTACATGTTCAGTGCTGGGAAAGATCGTCTTTTAAAGTACTGGGATGCTGATAAGTTTGAGTTGCTTTTAACGCTTGAGGGACATCATGCTGATGTTTGGTGCCTTGCAGTCAGCAACCGTGGTGACTTTGTTGTTACAGGATCTCATGACCGGTCTATTCGCCGTTGGGATCGTACTGAGGAGCCATTTTTTATTGAGGTATTTTCAAATTTTTTGCTGTGTACCGGAAGTGAAGTTCTTGGATCAGGAATGAGAATGCCATTGTTAAGCTAGTTCTTCTCACTGCATTTGTGATTACCTTTAGAGATGGATTTTCTTCTTTTGTATTTAACCTGCTTGAATGTGCAGGAAGAAAAAGAGAAAAGATTGGAAGAAATCTTCGAGGCTGACATTGACAATACATTTGAAGACAGACATGTACCGAGGGAAGAACTTCCAGAAGAGGGAGCTGTTGCATTAGCAGGGAAGAGAACTCAAGAAACTGTGACAGCCACTGATTCAATTATTGATGCACTAGATTTGGCAGAAGTGGAGTTAAAATGTATAGCTGAACATGAGGTATTCTTCTCTTGCTTTGGTCCGTTTGTTCTTGATGTGTAAATGGCTTTAACAAGATTGTTTAAATTTTGGGAAAAACTGGAATAACCAGGATATAGCCAGACCAAGATATGATCTGGACTGAGGCCCCACACATGTCACTGGGACTCAAACATGAGACATTAAGGTTATTAGGGCCTTAACCTTGCCATTGTCGCCAAAGTTGTATTTTGATCCTCAATGGTCGACACTTTTAAATATTTTTCTCTTCCCCTAAGGAAGTAGGGGGAAGAAAGTTGTGGACTCTATTGGGGTGGTGTGGTTGTTTACTTTCCCTATCCACTATATTGAGTGTCAACACAATGGTTACTCTATTTACTTGTAGAAAGATACTACTGCCAACATGACAAATCTCTCTTGCAGAGATGATGTTCATTTTGCTCAGAAATGCTAGTTGGAATTATTTTGAAAATTTGTAGAGCAGCAGAAAATGCTGGAAGAAAACTGAAAGAGCATAATTTTTTCAATAGTTGTGTTGCAATGAACATGTTTACTATGTTATATCTCAGGAGGAGCAAGCCAGAGGAAAAGTTGCTGAATTCCAACCAAATATGATTATGCTTGGGTTGTCCCCATCAGATTATGTCCTTCGTGCTCTCTCAAATATTAGCACCAATGATCTGGAGCAGACTTTACTGGTAATTGAGCATCGTGCATGAGATTTTCTCTAGTTCTAGTACAGAATTATGGAAAAGATGATATGGTATTTCATCCATGTTTTCAAGTGAATGCATGGAGATAGTTACACAACCGAAATCGGCCTATGAGGATTAAGCTCATAACTGAAACATCTGGATAAGCTGCTTTTGTCCCTTATCTTTTTTTGCGATCTACCTGATTGTGACTGTTTTCTTCATATTGTAGTCCATGATCTTCTACTGTTTAGTTAATATTTGCCTAATAATGGGACCAAAGATCACTCATCAACTGAAATTCTAGTCTCTTTGAAGAAAGTTTCTTTTCATTTTCCAGCCATGTTAATAGCTAAGTTATTATTTCAGCTTGTCACAATTAATAAAAGAAAATTCATATATGGAGGCTGGACTATCTATGTCTAGTAGTTAAACTGAACTTGTCTTGTGGATTCTACTGGATGATGCCATGCTGCATAGTACCTATAGCATCTTATTATTTATCTCAATGTCTCAGTCAAAGTTGTTTTATCGCCAGGCATTACCATTCTCAGATGCTCTCAAGCTGCTCTCTTATACGAAGGACTGGACTTCGAATCCTGACAAGGTTGGCCTCTATGCTCTTATAAATGTGCTTCTGGTTGGATGTTTTGCTAAATAGATGTGGCACGTACACCATGCATTCTCTCTCTCCCTCTCTGACACACTAACACTCTTGATGTTAGGAAAACATGTCTATTTGGGCGCTAGACTTGTAATACTTGAAGGTGTTATTACAATATATGCCGTTTGTGCAGGTTGAGCTGGTTTGCAGGATTGTTACGATTTTGTTGCAGACACATCATAGTCAGTTAATTAGTACCCCATCTGCCAGACCAGTGTTGGCTGTTCTGAAAGAGATTATTTATGCAAGAGTTAAGGTAAATTTGTACTTAAGATTATATGATTGTTTAAAACTTGCACATTCCCTCAGAGCAAAAACATTCAGTTCTGCAACTAGTAGCCTTAATGATCTCTCTTTTTTTTCTACTATTGAATTTAAGTTCAAAATGATCACATAATCCATAAATTTTAGATTCGGGAAAACTTAAGGATCTATTTTAATGGCATAAACTTTGAATTTCCCAGGAATGCAGAGATACTCTTGGTTTCAACCTTGCAGCAATGGATCATCTAAAGGTTTGTAAAACGACTTTTCCAATATTATCAATCAAATTTCTAATACAATAGCAAGAACTCTTTTTTTTTTCCAACTGTTACGTGCCATTTGATTTCAGCAATTGATGGCTTCAAGATCGGATGCTCTCTTCCGAGATGCAAAGTTGAAGTTGTTAGAGATACGATCGCAGGAGTCGAAGCGTTTAGAAGCAAGAACGGAGACCAAAACAGAAAAGCGAAAAAAAAAGAAACAGAAGAAATAGAGGGATGATCTCCAAGATGGGAAAACTCTTGGCACTTCAGTTTTGTATTTTAAGTTATATTACTTCCCTCAACTATGAATATCATAATCCAAGTAAAATATTGAGATTTTCATGACCAGTTTCCCTGTACGTCTGGACCAGAAAGAATACTGGAATGGGGTTTTATAATTAATTATATTATTTTTATCAATGTCTGTATTACGGTTATGCCTTGGCCAATGAATTTTACAAAGCTTTTTCTGGTAGGGTATTGCTACAAATGAGGTCAACCATAGATGGGGGGGGGGGGGGAACATTGGGGCTGTGGCCTAATGCTTTCGTTAAGGACAAAAAGCTTAGAACCTAATTTTACTTAATATAATGTTAGGTACAAATATAGAAGAAGGCGAACTAGTATATGAACATAAATCATTTTTTAATAGTTTGAGGCTATTATAAGGTAATATTTATTTATAATCTTTTTTAACCATTAAAGATTTTAAAGATTTACATGTAGCTGTTCAAACTCAAAATTTTAAGGAATAATAACATTATCTTTAATGGATTAAGGTCACTTAGCGGGTTCATATAAATAGAAATCTTTTGATTTTCAATGAAGAGAAAGCCAAAGGTCAAATATTGTCGAAGCATATTATTTCTCTTGGCACGGTTTACAAGATTAAGGCTATGCTTGAAAAAATAGAAGAAAAAGATATCATTTTCATCTATATATATAAAAATAACTCAGTTTAATTTAGAAAAAGAAAAAAGAGAAATATGAATTAATTCAAAATTTAATCTTCTTTTTTCTTTAATTATTTTTTAAGCACACTATTGAAAATGATTCTTTAAACTTTTTATTCCTTTAGTTTTCTATTTTTTTATTCTATCAAGCGAACTTAACAAGTTTAAAAATCACTGCTTTAAGGTTTAATATCACTTTTTGTTGCTTTAACATCTCTAAAACTTTTTTGGTCAGTACCTTTTCTCTAATTGATATCAATCATGGATAATGGTTTCTATAATATATTTTCCGGAAAATAGGAAGATTAATCGGAGAAGTAAAATATTGCTTAAAATGTTTTCATTGTTTGGTTATTTACTTGAAAATTTATCATTTTTCGATTTAAACATTAATATTAATATTAATATTTTTTTTGAACATTAAGAATAGAATTTATTGTTAAATGATAATATTTTTTTGAAAAGCATTGAATAATATTTGTATTATATTAAATGTATTTTTATTAAAATAACCTAGTATTAATTATATTAATCGTTAGTATTTTTAAAATTAAAAATTATTATGAATATAATATATTTAATTCTATTTAAATTAAATTTTGATCTAGACATCACCTAATAAGGATTAAATTTTTGAGAATTTCCTTGATTTTTTAAAAAGGATTAAAAAGATATACTATAAAAAACATTTTTAGCAAATAAATTACCGCACTTTTTTATTGTAAGTTTATTTTTACCGAAGCATTTTCCTACAACAATGCGAAATTAGAACCGAGCAATAAATCCTCCAATAAAACTGAAAATATCAATATCTAGAGATGAGGCTTAATTGATATAAAAGCAGCCACCATCACAACCATGATTTTATTCATCAACCACAGGGATCAGAGTTTGCCTAAAAAGGAAGAGTCTTCTGATTCATCAACTTAATAACGGTGTATAAGTTGTTTGTATGCATCCTTGTTCCTCGAGTAGTACTCTATTTCTGCCTGAAATGCATCATGAATTCATGGCTTCAAAATTTTCTCACATCAAACTTCCAAGAGATTGAACATGGTTGAAAAATTACCTTTCGAACTCCGGTTACTGCTACAAAAAGCTTTTCACCAATCACCTCCTTCAACACTTTGTCTTTCTGAAGAGCTTCCAATGATTCAGACAGCGATCGTGGAAGTTTCGATAGTTTCCCGTCAAGTGTAGCTGGATTTGCATCTGTTTCATTCATAAAAACACATTAACATAGTCATGTCAGAGTAGAGGTTTCAACTAGCACTGAAACATTTAGTCATGGTTAAGTTGAAAGAGTTGAATAAAGTGAAAATGGTTGCCAAATTATTAGGTATAACTGTTAACATGGATGAAAAGAAGGCCAAAATATTCAAGGTTTCTTAAATAGTATGTTAGCAAATTGGGAAGATACCAAAAAAATGCAAATCTTACCAATAGGTTGAGGCAGACGAAGATGGCGTCGTAGACAATCGATTCCGGCAGCAGTTATAGCAGCCAATCCCCAAGTGTGGATTTGCACATCCATCAAAAGATTTTATCTCAAAGTTGCTCACAAATCCATTTGGGACCCCAGGTGGGCATGCAGTTCTTATTGGCGCCTCTCTGTTTTCTTTTCCCCAGCGTTGATATGCCCCACTCCACGTATTAGGTTGTATGCGATCATAACTAAACACAAATCAAGTAGATATAGGATACATATATTCATTGCAGTAATATATATATAATATGGAAGAAGTAGAGAATGAACCGGTTCGGAAGTGGTGCTATGAATGCCAAAATTGAAGGAAGATGGTCTAAAACCCCTGCCATGAACTCCTCCCCAAATTTAGACATTCCATGATGAGAAGATGCATCAGATTCTGTAAAAACATTTTGTCCATTCTGCCATAAACTGAGATGCACATGGGATCCAGAACCTATGTCATCCAAATCATATACCTGGGAGGAGAAATAAAAAGATTCGAGTATTCTACATTTCCAAGGTAAAGCCAGGACATGCATGAAAACCTCGCAGCATTGATATAATAGTTTAAAACCAAATAATGAGAACAAGGAAGCAAGTATTGGTCAAAATGAGAAAACATTTCAGCTTACTTTGGGACAAAAGTTGCCAACAGACCATGTTTATTTGCAATAGTTCTGACAGTTTCACGAGTGTAAATCAAATTGTCAGCAGCATTTGTGCAAGCACTATGCCCCAAAGCCATTTCATATTGACCTTTTCCAGCTTCAGCACACAACTGTAAATTGTAAAAGCTAACAGAATCAGTGTAAATCAAATTTGAATGATGGTTCTCCCTTGAGAAAAATAAAAGCACTGGTATATTTCATACACTCACACGAAAAGAAAACCTTAATAGGTTACTTAAGAAAAGTCAAATTTGATCTCTGTACCGTTATTCTTATATTGGATTATGCTTTGTTTTAATGCAGACCGTCAACCGAATAACTGACTTCATGAAGACAGACTAATTGTTAGGTAAAATATGAATATAATGTTAACGACAGAGCCACACAGTATATCAGTTGATAGAAAGTGCCTCCAATAAAAGTAGATATCAAGAATATGTGACTTCTCATCTACACCTACTCAACAGCAACATTCAAGGTATTTAGAGCCGCAACAATTTCTTGAAATAAAGTGGAGATGGCATCAAATCCAGAAGAGGAACAATAAGGTTTCACGTCGATCGATATCCACTCTTCTTTCCCTCTCTGCAAGTTTTTGAGATTAAATTTTCATTGTAACTATGCCGAGCCAAAGGTTGCTAAAACAATGAAAAGGAATAAACCAGTGCATATGTTACCCACCTTTCTAGTATTTTCAAGAGATAAAATTCATTTTCAAATCCTGCATTCATTGCCTGCATATATTGAATTCATTAGTTAAGCATGAGTACTTCATTATTATAGAAATGACAGACCACATGACATACCAAGTTGAACTCATCTTTCAGAACTTTTGAAACCCTTCGTAGCGCCTCTCTAGGGCAATATTCCCATGGTTCACCAGGTTTAAGATGCATGTCTGCCAAAACCATCTCCTCTTGTTTTTTTCCTATTGAGGTAGAGGGTATCAACATTATCTTAAAGGCATAATGAAAAATTAGCAGTGCTAGCAACAATGATCAAAGATCTGTAAACAAAGAAGGAATACTGAATGATGCAAATGCATGTAAAAATGTGAAGGTGTTCAAAGGGGCATATAGAAATATTTCCCATTGTGGTCAACCAGATTTTATTCCCCAAAGATACAGTACCATGGGATATCTCTCCTAGTTGATAGGTCAGGCATCAGTCTGATCTCACCCGTTCCAGTTAGATTAGTCTCATCAGCTGGACCATCAACAGCAGAACTCATTGCCATACATGCAAATGTCAAACCAACACCATTTTTCTTCACAACATTGTCAAAGCGTTTCTTGGGAACAACCTGAAACGTTGAGTAAAATTAGGGAGAGATAGCTAAAATCTAGATTATCCTTTCAACCATGAATATTCAAGATCATAGTATTCAAATATTTTTCGGAGGCACTAAGTAATCAGAAAGGTATTCATAATCTTTTACATCAGAGTTACTTGAGATTTCAGATATGACAGGAGTGATTCCATTATTAAGGTAATTAGAGGCATTTTAGACATTTTGGTTTCTCGAAGAATTCTTAGTAGTTTAACCCAATGAGAGTAAAACAACAGTTATAGAATTTAGGATTTATATCGAATTATCAGGATTTCAAGTCAAATTAAACTAACCAATCCCAACACTTCTATACTTGCCAATCATTCAAACCGAGGTGTTTCACCATTATTCACTTCTTAATACTGATTGCTTTAGTTGAACTGATCACCTTCAGAATCATCGTTGAATGGATCTTAGGGAGACAAACATGTATTCCAATGGTATTTATTTTATTTCTTTAGTGCATCGGTATTAAGAAATATCAACATGCTTGATTCGTGGTTCATAATCCTTATGGACAATACAACATATAAGTTCATCAGAGATTCCAGACTTATCTCAGTCATCCACTTAATTATAGGTAATTAAGGGTACTTAGGTCATTTAGTATTCAAGTTTATCCTGATCATTTTGGAGTTTCCAAAGTAATTCGATCATTTCAACAATTTGGATACATACAATACTTCCAATTAGTTCGACTTTTTCATATAATATAGTCATTTCAAGTAATTCAGACGTGTAAAGTACTTTCGGTAATTTAGCCTCCGGGTGTTTGCTCACGAATTATGAGTTCTAGGTCATTTTCCCATTTCGAGGATATTTCAGTCATTTCATTTGATTTTTACATATACATTGCTTCTGGCAAATTAGTCTTTAGGAGTTTACTCAAGAATCAGAATTCTAAGTCTTTTACAATCTCAGAGGTTATGATCGATTAACAGGGTTATTTTCACTTTCAGGGAAAATCCTTGTCTTTTACATCACACATGTATTTTTGTAGTTTCTTATCCAAGTATTTCCGCCATTTAACCTTTAACGAGATTAATCAGAATTTATGAGTCTTGAGATTAATTAATTTACTGATTAAATCACTAAACTTAGATTTATCTCTTATCGATCTTCTAGTTCCTTGCACGAGTCATTTGAGTCTTATTGGGTTTATTGTCTTTATACCATATTCAATTCGAGTCTATCAATAATTAACTCTATGAAAATTCGAGTCCATCAATAATTAACTCTATGTATTTAACCAATAACTCCAATCATGCATTAACAAATCACCAATATGTATCGTAAATCATGCATGGGGTAGTAAAGTATTACCTTAATTTTAGAACCACATTGGTCGATCATTTTAATTTTATTCAGTCACTCTCAAACTTTAATTCCACGTCCCATAATGTATCGGATGCATGAGAAAATAAATTTCATAAAAAACATATCTTAATTAGGAAAAACAAATCGAATCGCAAGATAAAATGCTGAAAAACAACTTACCGGGTTCAAATTTGGTGAAACATACTTCAGATTCGGATTCAGAACGTCGAAAAATATAAAATATAACTTTAAAAAAAAAAGAAGTTTTGATCAAAGTCAATGGTCAAACTGGTCAAAGTCAAAGTCAACGGGTATGGTCAACGGTCGGGTAAAAGTCAACGGTTCGGTCAAGGTTAACGGGTCATACCGATTCAGGTTAACTCGGGTCGGTTCGGTTGACTCGGACCAGTTTAAACCAGTTCGGGTCGATTCAGTCCACCTAGACCATTCTAGAAGATTTCTAGAGGGAAAACAAGCCCCATATGCATGCGGCAGCGCGTGACAAGGTCCGGTCGATCGGTCGGTCAAGCATTCCACGAGTAGTCAATCATCATTTGCAACACCAACAACTCGAAATCAACCAAGAACTGCAACAAATAACTGAATAAAATCGTTTAGAAGCTTACCCACTGCGGACATTGAGAACGGTGACGGTGGACGACGAACCCGATTGGGTTTTCATTAGACTGATGAGGGGAACCTGACAAGAGTGGTATTGAGGCTAACCGAGCTTGGGATCAGCGTGAAAATGACGAACAACGCTAAGGTTCTTTTTATGTTTTATGGCGAGTTTTTGAACACCTCAACCATGCAAACGATGATGTTTCACACAGCGGGGACAACAAGGGTTTGGTCAGACGAGGGAGGGGACTATAATAGTGGTGATGTTGCGGTAAATCGACGAAAAAAATCATCTAAAATCGAAAGAAAATAGAGGCAGAAGATGGGGTTTATCGACTGGATTCAAACAGTGATACATGACACAACGATGGTTTTCTGTGAACTACTAGAGGGGTTTTCGTCGTGGGAATTCGTCGGTCACGCTGTGGTGACGGTGCACACTGACGACAGTCGAAACGGGCGGATCGAGGGAGGTCGATTTGGTTTGATTTTTCTTTGGGTTACCCGATCACGGGGGGATTTGCCTTTGGAGATTATAACCCAACCCAGATTATAATAAATTATATTTTTATTATTTTAGTCACATACAGTGACCTAGGCAGTAGGAGACTAAGGGTTAGGGTTTGGTTGGTTTGGGCTTAGGGTTTTATTATTTTGGCTGGTTTTGGGTTTATAATAATAATAATAATATAGCACAAAAAATGGTGATTACAAATGTATAAACATGGAGGGTTAAACTTAATGAATTATTTTGAATCAAAATCATGTTGATAAGATTATTTTATTATGGTGAACGAATAACTTGGACTTTTGGGGTTTACAATTTATCTTTCAACTTATCAAATAATTTCAGTAGTAAAAGAAAAAAATATTCTTTTTAAAAATATTGAGTTTGAGCAACTGCATCTATACGATGTATTTGTCAATTGATTAAGAAAATTCTGAACTGATAATACCTTATTATCATATCTTTTTTTTAAATAATTATGACATTTTGATTTATAAGAAATAAAATTATTTTTTATAGTAAAATTATTGGAAAGTAAGTAAATTTATTTAATATATTATTAGATATATTACATACTTTAATTCATTTAGTTGAAATAAAACAATTACTATTTGATCGAATATATAAGTGTAAAATACATAAATGGTCCCTCGACTATAAAATATTATTTTTAAATCCCCCAACTATTAAAAGTTATAAAATGATCCCGACTATATGGAGTTGCTTTGTTGAGTCCCTCAACTATTAGAAGTTACAAAATGGTCACCCAACTATTCATTATGTTCCAAACTCGTCATTTTTTGTTAAAAAATTAACGGTCGTCTGAACTGGATGTTAACATGCCGACTGATATATGATAGTCGTTTGAGATTATAAAATCATATTTTATCATATCTTAATCAGAGGGTTAACGTCCAGCTCAGACAACCATTAAATTTTCAATGGAAAATGATGAGTTTGGAACATAATGAATAATCGAGTGATCATTTTATAACTTTTAATAGTTGAGGGACTCAACAAAGTAACTCTTTATAGTCGAAGGAACATTTTGTAACTTTTAATAGTCAATGGACTCAATAAAGCAGTATCCTATAGTTGGAGGACCATTTGTGTACTTTACCCTATATATAATTACTTTAAAATATAGTTTATTAAAAAAATTGTTAGCATTATTTTTTTAAAAGTAAATATAGTTCCTTATTTTTATAAGGTAAAGTTTCTTCACCTATTAATTATGTTTCGATCTTAGAAGAATAAATTTTTATTTATGTCAAATTTGTTTTATATTATTATAAACAAAACTTTTGGATGCGATTTTTTAGTGTCGATATAGGTTGATAAAATAGATCAAAATTTTGTGATTCAAATGGAATGATCTAGGAGTGCATGATAGATGAATAACATATTTAACAACTCATTCTGCATGATGTTTTGACGCGGATAAAGGCCATATAAAGATGTACTTGGCATTATTTGGAGGATATAGAAAATTAGTTTCAGAGAATAATGTAATTAGATTTTCCTTCATTACTTTTCTTTTCTTAGATTTTCTT